CATCATTTATAGCTAGGGCAGGCATCTCATAATTTATAGCTAGAGCAGGCATGTCATCATTTATAGCTAGGGCAGGCATCTCATCATTTAAAGCTAGGGTAGACATTATTTATAGCTAGGTGTAGATATTCTGTTAATTATAGATAAGTAAAGTCATCACATCATTAATACTACAGGCAGATCTTCCTTCATGTGTAGCTAGGGCAGGCATCCCATTATTTAAAGCTATGGCAGACATTCCATCATGTATAGCTAGAAGTAGATATCCTGTCATTTACAGGTAGTGGGAAGCATCTCATTTATAGCTAGAGGCAGACATACCATCATTTATAGATAGGGCAGACATACCATCTTTTATAGATATGGCAGATATACCATCATTTATAGCTAGAGGCAGATATCCCCTCATTTATAGCTAGAGCAGACAGCCTGTAAAATATGGCTAAAGGAGGCAGATATCCTGTCATTTATAGCTTTGATCTCTTATCATGTCTTCTGTATGTCACCTGTAGGCTGCTACAGTATTGTCTGTCAAATAAATGCCAGTGTTGATAATCTGCAGACTGTTCCTGTGAGTCTGGCCCGGATGGAATGGACTTTGACGAGAACGGAAACCTGCTTGTGGCTCACTGGGGCAGTGGCTACATCGAAGTGTTCTGTCCCACAGGTGGTGACCCGGTTAAACGCATCAAGTGTCCCTTTGACAAACCTAGCAACCTACACTTTGAGCCGGGTACCAACACCGTATATGTCACTGAACATACAAACCACGCACTGTGGAGGTTCCAGTGGGAGCATAGGGGACAACATCAGTACTGTGAAAAATAGGTGTGTGTGTGGGTCGTCTGTTAGTCCCATAGCCAGACAGGCTGAACTGACTGCTTCTTTTTTTTCTATGTTCTGCCTTTCAGTGTCAGATTTTGAAGAGGTATCTGGTACAAGCTTTGGTGTGAGCAGCTGCACAGATGCTGGGAAACACAGCCTCAGATATTTGATCTATCCCTCATGACCTCTAGATCTGCTTCCGTTGTCTAAATGACAGGACTTTCTGTAGTGCCCTACTTTATGGTAATCATGACCATATATCCAAGCCATTTCTTCTCCTTTTAAGCGTTCCCCCCCCCCCCCCCCCCACCCCCCCCCCCTCCCCCCCCCCCCCCCCCCCCCCCCCCCCCCCCCCCCCCCCCCCCCACAGCTGTAAGTTCTGGTTGTTTTGTCCACTTCTAGACTTATAGTCTTGTTTTAGAACTTGAGTTTGAATGCTCGCCCGTCAGGCAGATGCAGTCCGACTTTGAAAAAAAAAACACCCCTAATTAGTTGCCTTGTATAACATGTTTGGGAGACGGTGGACCTATCCCCCCCACCCCCCTAATAGGGGCCCAGAACCCACATGGAGACAGACCATTTGATCCGTTTCATCTAGACCTTTAGCTCTAGTTTCTTGTTATCATGGGTTTCATCTTCTTCACTTTAATCCTCAGTGGAGCAAAGACCCTCAAGCAGCTCATACCAGGTTGTTACATTCTTCGCTACCACATGCAGCTCACCCTATATATTTTTCTACTTTCACTCTCTAGCTTCCTTTTTCATGTGTGTTTTGGTCTGCCTTTATTTTTATGACCCTGTGGGTTCCAGTGCAAAGACATTCCAGTTATATTGTTCTTTGGTTTTATTTGGTTGCTAAACATATTTTAATGTACTGACCGCCACTCATAGATGCGGACGTAGAGACAGGATTTATTTCCCCACCCATTTATTTCTGTGTATTTATGAAATATTTTTAGTTCATCGTTATTGTAGATTGAACCATGGAGTCTATAAATGCTTGGATTCCCTTCCAGTAAATCCCACGTGTGCATAAGTGGATTGGCAGCTGAGACAAGATCAATACAACATATGGCAAAACTTTTGGCCGAGAGAAACATCGGTGCAAGTCAAACTTTACGGGTCGCTGAGTGAATTACAAAAGACAGTGAAGTTCATACTAGAGACAACATTTCAGATATAGATAATTTATTTAAAGAGAATGAAAGAAGAAGTTAATCATACAGAGTGTTGTGGCTGGGGACACAGGTTCTGAATGGGTTTATTCTTTTTCTTTGGCTTCCTGTATAGTACTCTTGATGAAATGACTGCTGTTGATTCTGTCCATTGGACATATTTACATAACATGAATATTGTATTAAACCAACTACACGACAGTTGCCTTAAACATCGCATGAAGATCAATATTTAAAAAACAGACGTCATGAGAATAAGTAAAGAGCAACAACCCATCGACATAAAGATCAAAGTCTGAAACAAGTGCCAAAATTTAAATACTTGGGAAGCATCTTTACACCCAGTGGTAAAATAGACAGAGAGTAGAAACGAGAAGCCAACAATGTCACATACCGACTTGCTCTAATTTTAAAACACGCTGCTATCCCAATAGAGACAAAAAGAGAAATTATAAATACAATTTTTATATGACTTTAGGTTACCATCATACTTAGATTGACAAAAGAAAACTAACCACATGTAAAACGAGATGTTTGAGAATGGCTGTGAATTAAAAAAAAAAAGATTGAGTTAGAAACGACGTGATCACAAGAACTGTTGAAACCACACCCCATGTCGAATTTATTGAGAAACAGAATGAAATAGTTTGGACATCTAATGAGAATGAAACCAACAATGCCAGCAGCAAGAGCGTACAACCTGAAAATTTAAACACCAAGAGGCAGGGGAAAACCGAGAAGAATATGGATTGGAGTCACTGACACCTTGAGACTGCACAACATATCAAGCTACTGAGCGCGCCCTCGCTCAGCTGCTGATCGTCTGTGACGCCCACTTTTAAGTCTTCTTCCAGAGTTTTTCAGTGAGTTCCTACAAAAAGACATGTTTTCTTGTCCTATCCTCACCTCTTGATTTGCCAGGATATTTTAATTCTTACCTTAAGTTGCCAAATACTGATTCTATCATGCCAGTAAAGTTTTTTTTTCTTTAGCACTTCCTCCTTCTGCATCCGCCCATAAAATAGTAGTTGCCATGTTGAGGTTTATAGGCTTTGATATCTATGCCTTTTGACCCAGCACATCTGATTTCAATGAATCATTAATTAGTTGCCCTGTGCAACATGCTTGTTAACTCTTTCTATCCCAAGGAACGCACCATGTGTGCTCCACATATGTATGTGTGTATCAACGCAACACATGCTGTGTTATTATTTATTTAATGTTTAGCTTGGGTATGCAAAATAAATTTGGCCAAATATTTTAAACGCCGCACCTTTGATTGTCATACATTGATGCCTTTTCCACTGGGGTTATTATTATGCCAAACTGTGTATTTACTTTCAAACCATCTGGGACTGAAAGAGTTAAGAGGCAGTGATTCTGGTATTTTTTTAACCGCAGAATGGTACCTAGTTAACATCATATGTGGTAATATAGGAGCATTCCAGTGCTTCTGTGGTAATATAGGAGCATTCCAGTGCTTCTGTGGTAATATAGGAGCATTCCAGTGCTTCTGTGGTAATATAGAAGCATTCCAGTGCTTCTGTGGCAGTTAAATATTTATATTGTTGACAATTTTATTACAAGATCAAATACTTAAGATAGCATGATTGTGGGTGGGTGGGGGGTCCCCTATTGCCCTGAGTTTTTTTAAATGTTGTTGTGACATAAGCACAGTGAGAAGATTAATGCTACTTGCCTTTATTTCAACCATGTAAAGCAGCTGGTAGAATGACAAGTTTTTTTCTTTTTTTTTAAATTAATGAAATCTTATTTAATATAAAATATCCAGCCATCGTTGCTCTTGACTATAAATTTTATTCTAGACACTCAGGTCATCATATAGCAATAATTGCTAACATTGCTTTTGTTTTAATATTTTTATATACGACAATTTGTATATTATACTTTTCTTGTTTATGATCCAAATTTATCTTTCCATCATTCCAATGGAGTTTATTTACAAAACTTCTTAGCACTGTGAAAAACCTGGCCAGCTGGGAAATGAAAGAGATAAGCTCATAGTTTTCTTTCTGTGTCTGCAGGAGAAAATGAGGACTAGTTTTCTGTGTCTGCAGGGAAAAAACAAGGATAACTTTTCTGTCTCCAGGGAATTAAGATGGACCAGTTTTTCTATGTCTGCAGGGAATAGGACAATCTTTTTTTAAAATATATTTTGTGATGTTTTTTCTCTCTGCAACTTTTGACAATAAAGCATTTTAATTTAGAGTTGTCAATACTTTATCTTTACACCCCAAAGTAGAAGAAGAGGCTGAATGCAAGGACCAGAAGGAATGTTAACTACAACACACCCTTTCATCACAAAAGACTGACGCAAAATGATGACAATCCTTTCAAACGATATTTTAATAATTTCAAAGGCAAGAACCACCATTATGTAATGGCTATTCAACTGCCACTATATGTTGTTTACAGTAACATCATCTACAGACATATCAAACATACACAGGCTCATCCACACTTGGCTGACATCATCAAGGTAAACTTCACAAGATCTATCCCTCGTTGACACCTTTCTCCAAAACAAATTTAATCTGGCCATATCAGGTTCCATGTCGAATATCAGTCAGTATCTTCTCTGTCTTGTCACTTCTGTAATTGTTACATGTGACATGACACCACGTAAAGCTCGCGTAGATGTTGGCTATATTAGGATTTGTTGTTGCTTCTTATTCTCCACAGTTCCTCAACAACATCAACCTCACACCATATTGTTCTATTCTTTTCCCATGTCTTCCTAATCTTTGTTTAACTTCACTTTTTAAACTCCCTTCTTCATGTGTTTTTTTTTTGTGGTCTGCCTTTATTTCTATGCCCTGTGGGTCCCAGTGCAAAGACATTCTAATTATACTGCTGTCACTCTTGTTACTATTGAATCACCAATGACCTCATGTTATCGCAAGGCTTAAAATGCCACAGCCATGACTGTCAGCCAAGTGTGTGTCCCAACCATACAACTAAAGATGAGAAATGGAAGCTCTAGTCCAGAGATTTCTGTAAAGCTTCCAGGCACTCCAGAGCGATCTGTGCCTCAGCCTTGGCCACCTCGGACGAAGCTGCAGCCAGGTCATGCTGGGCCTTGTTGAGACTTTCACGGATTGCCTGTGATGAAAAAACAAAAACACTGTTAAATCTGTCAGTCCCAAACAATGCATGGTCCATAAGGGTCCACTTTCTCATTGTTGGTAAATTCTCTTACTTTGAAATGAGGACAACTATTTAACATAAATAATGTGCGACAATCCGGACAGATGGTTTCGATCACTAATTATAATGTATGCATTAACAAATCAAGTAAGTGATACCAACTCGAGGAAAACGATCAGTTTGGCTCAAGGGGGCCAAATGAGAAAATCATGAGATTGTGAGTTAAGGGTGTTAATGCTTGAGAAGAAGAATAGATAAAGCTTGGAGCAAATGAGAACGCTCAGTATTGTTTTCAATCGAGTGAGAGCCTGGTTTTGTAGCGCTTGGATTGCCTGAATGAATGTATCCTGAGATTGAGTGAATGTAATTGAGCTGCCAGACTGCATCCCGAGAAAACCTGGATATCAATCCATGACAACTTGAAACGGATGAAAGATTGTCTGCTAAGCTGTGCAATTTGTGAATGTGCATATGGTAGTTTTGAAGTGCAACCGTGAGAAATAGTGAATGTAGATAAAATGATAGTTAGCTGAATGTATTATGAAGTAGCTGTTGCCTTAGACCAGTGGTTCTCAAACCGCAAGCGTATGCCAGGGGTGCCGCGGCAATAATGACAAATTCATCCTAACAGATTCTTTTATTGCATTGAAGACAACTGAACATTAAATGTGCACTGTTTTTTTCTTCTTATTTTCCTAAGTAATCAACCGCTTTAGAGTAGCCGCGCGTGCATTTTTTTAAAACCTGACATCAGTGTCGCGACGAAAAAAGTTTGAGAACCAGTGCCCTAGACAACAAACCTCTAGCGCACTGACCGAGAGGAATATCATCAGAACAGTACACACACTGTTGTCGAAAGAATAATGTTCTCAACGTTTGTTTTTGCTTAAGCTTGCTGCGTTAAAGTATCTATCAATGTGCCAGAGCAGACTGTATGACGAGAGCCAAGAAAGTCACTGCACCCCCCCCCCCCCCTTTCCACATCTCAAACATCACATCAAGTGTCTTCTTAAGCTTTGGCCAGTATATACTAAATAAATCTGGCAATCACAGGGGTTTCTTTCATTTTTTATTCCTACAACAAAACAAGCTTGCATGGCAATATTGAATGTGAAAAAAAATGCTTTCTGTATAAAACTAAGTTAAATGGTCTCCACAACAGAGCCAACAGAACGGTCATGCAGTCAATAAAATACAGCCAAAAGAATTTAATTACAGGACTATAAAATACAGCCAACTGGACTTTTCTTTCTGGTGGTAAGCAGTACCGTCACTGTGTTTTAGGGACCAATTGTTTTGGTGTTACTGTAACAGACACTTTGTAGTAAGTATCAGCACCTTTTTTTCCCAGGGAAAAAAGGCCTTGAAGATAACAAATAATCCCCTAAAAACAATAAACTAATTAAAAAAAAGCCTATAAAACTACAATTATCAATATTTCTACTACCATTTTAACAATCTGCTACTTCTATCATTACTTTAACCACCATTTCTACTACTGCTAAGACCATTATCACTAACATTTAAATCCTTCAACTTTTTACTAACACCTTAAAGATTGCCGCTAATGTTTCTGTCCAGGGCTGAAGAGGGGGGCTGACTTACCGCAGGGTCAAACCTGTCCACTGGGTGTGCTTCTTCCGCCAGCACTTGTACTGATGAGTCATCATTGATGGTCACTGAGCCGCTGCTGACTGAAATTAGATGGCAAACATGACTTATACATACAACAAATGCATTGAAATCAGATGGCAATCACGACTTATACAAACAACAAATGCATTGAAAGATGGCAAACACGACTTATACAAACAACAAATGCATTGAAAGATGGCAATCACGACTTATACAAACAACAAATGCATTGAAAGATGGCAATCACGACTTATACAAACAACAAATGCATTGAAAGATGGCAATCACGACTTATACAAACAACAAATGTATTGAAAGATGGCAATCACGACTTATACAAACAACAAATGCAGTGAAAGATGGCAATCACGACTTATACAAACAACAAATGCATTGAAATCAGATGGCAAACACGACTTATACATACAACAAATGCATTGAAAGATGGCAATCACGACTTATACAAACAACAAATGCATTGAAAGATGGCAAACACGACTTATACAAACAACAAATGCATTGAAAGATGGCAATCACGACTTATACAAACAACAAATGTATTGAAAGATGGCAATCACGACTTATACAAACAACAAATGCATTGAAAGATGGCAAACACGACTTATACAAACAACAAATGCATTGAAAGATGGCAATCACGACTTATACAAACAACAAATGCATTGAAAGATGGCAATCACGACTTATACAAACAACAAATGTATTGAAAGATGGCAATCACGACTTATACAAACAACAAATGCATTGAAAGATGGCAATCACGACTTATACAAACAACAAATGCATTGAAAGATGGAAATCACGACTTATACAAACAACAAATGCATTGAAAGATGGCAAACACGACTTATACAAACAACAAATGCATTGAAAGATGGCAATCACGACTTATACAAACAACAAATGTATTGAAAGATGGCAATCACGACTTATACAAACAACAAATGCATTGAAAGATGGCAAACACGACTTATACAAACAACAAATGCATTGAAAGATGGCAATCACGACTTATACAAACAACAAATGCATTGAAAGATGGCAATCACGACTTATACAAACAACAAATGCATTGAAAGATGGCAATCACGACTTATACAAACAACAAATGCATTGAAAGATGGCAATCACGACTTATACAAACAACAAATGCAGTGAAAGATGGCAATCACGACTTATACAAACAACAAATGCATTGAAATCAGATGGCAAACACGACTTATACATACAACAAATGCATTGAAAGATGGCAATCACGACTTATACAAACAACAAATGCATTGAAAGATGGCAAACACGACTTATACAAACAACAAATGCATTGAAAGATGGCAATCACGACTTATACAAACAACAAATGCATTGAAAGATGGCAATCACGACTTATACAAACAACAAATGCATTGAAATCAGATGGCAAACACGACATACAAACAACAAATGCATGACCCCCACCTTCACATGTCTGATTCTTAGCTTTGAGAATTGATATACATGCTTCATTTCATTTATAAAATGTAAGGTACATATACTGATCCTTGGACAGCCAAAAAGTGAAACCCAGGTGTTTCAAAAGAGGTGAGGGCTCAAAGACAACTCACACAAACATCAGAAAGAGACAGTCATAATTATTTTGGTTATGTTTTGAGAAGAAGAAAACTAGAACATGTGACCACTGGAATCATCTGTGGAAAATTAGAAAGAGGAAGGCAACATGAGGAGATTCTTACCCCCAGTATAAGACTGTTCCCCAGTTCAGTATGGGACAGTTCACCCAGTAAAAGAACCGTTCCCCCAGTCCAGTATGGGACAGTTCCCCCAGTTTGGGAACTGTTTCCCAGTATGGGACTGCAAAGCCCTTGCACACACTATCTTTTTCTAGTTCCATATTCTCCCTTAGAAAAGAAGTTGGGATATTGTATTGTAGTTTACAGCTGGGCTGCACCATTTGATCCAATACATCAGTTTTCAGCAAATCGTTAATCAGTTGCCTTTTATGTCATGCTTGTTTAGGCTCAACAGCTATATTCCTCTTTTTTTTTCAAAATGGGTTCTCGGAACCATATGGGAAATGTCTTCAGCAAAGCTAATGATCCTGTGTAAAGAAACTAATGTGACATGTCAAATAATGGCGACTGACATTACCAATACTGCACATACCAAAGTATTTCTTGAGGGTTCCATCCTCTTCATGGACGTTGATCACACCAGGTTTCAGCACTGCAAGTGTGGGCACATGAGCTGGCAGGATGCCAAAGTTTCCGCTGAAAGTTGGCACATCAACCTGCTTGACTTTTGCTTCTTTGTAATACACCTAGAACAGAACAGACCAAATAAAACAGATAAATTACATGCTAGACTTCCCATCTTTCAATGGCATCATGAAAGCTAATAGATTGAAATGGTTGGGGCATATTGAAATAATGTCAGATGACAGAGAAGTAAAAACTGTATACACAAGGGAGATGAATGGTCGTAGACCACGAGGCAGACCAAGAAGACGAGGAGAGATAACATCCAGACAGACCTGCAAACATTTGGTGTCACCAACTGGAAAGAGAAGGCCAACTAGAGAGATAAATGGAGGCGGGTGATATCTGCAGCAATGAACCTCAAGGGCTCGGAATGCTGAAGAAGGCCAACAAGAGAGATAAATGGAGGCGGGTGATATCTGCAGCAATGAACCTCAAGGGCTCAGAATGCTGAAGAAGGCCAACAAGAGAGATAAATGGAGGCGGGTGATATCTGCAGCAATGAACCTCAAGGGCTCAGAATGCCGAAGAAGGCCAACAAGAGAGATAAATGGAGGCGGGTGATATCTGCAGCAATGAACCTCAAGGGCTCAGAATGCTGAAGAAGGCCAACAAGAGAGATGAATGGAGGCGGGTGATATCTGCAGCAATGAACCTCAAGGGCTCAGAATGCCGAAGAAGGCCAACAAGAGAGATAAATGGAGGCGGGTGATATCTGCAGCAATGAACCTTAAGGGCTCAGAATGCTGAAGAAGGCCAACCAGAGAGATGAATGAAGGCAGGTGATATCTGCAGCAATGAACCTCAAGGGCTCGGAATGCTGAAGAAGGCCAACAAGAGAGATAAATGGAGGCGGGTGATATCTGCAGCAATGAACCTCAAAGGCTCGGAATGCTGAAGAAGAATCCCCATCTGGCATCACACAGGGCATCAGACAGGGCACCACACAGATCAATATTATACATATACAATGGTAACAGAGCCAGAGGTCGACCATGCAGAATATGGAAACATTTTAGCAGATGTACTGTCTATAAACTTACAGCAGTCATAGGGTTCTCCTTGCAGTAACGGTCGCTACTTGGACGGCGACGGCCGCTTAGTCTGAGCTCAGTCCCCTGGCTGCAGTGCAATTACAGAGTGGACAAGGCACGAATCACAAAACACACTGAGTTCAACATGGCGTCTAGACCACGCGCTGCGACTCACATTAGCCTAACCCTACCCCTAATTATCTCATTTGTGCCACCCAAAGGTTTGCAGCATGAGAGTATAATCTCAACTCAACCTCGACTGCAAACCAACCAGGCAAATTCCACATCTTCTTCACTTCCTATTTTATTGCTTCAGGTGTCCAAGAAGATATCATCTATTTCATATCATATAAAGTTACATTCCAGATACCCTGTTCAATCTCCAACAAAGTTATATTTGAGCTATAACGGATAGTTCTGGGTGGGTAAGGGATTAAATAAAGTATAATGAATAATTAAGTAATTCCTTATTAATTAATTAATAATTTATCTCACTGTTTCGCTTTCGCAATGAAATTTAAAGTGGAAAGAAAAGAGGTCCAATTAACCAATCACAGAGAAGAGAGTAGAGAAGATCAATGGAAGCTGGTGATATCTGCAGCAATGTACCTCAAATGCATTTAATGCTGAAGAAGAGAAAAAGAAGGAGAATGATAAATATAAAAGTTTATAATAAACGAAAATGTGAATACAACGTCCAGCAGAAAAAAAAAACTTGAAGGGGAATCTCAGTCACTGCTGAGATATCATGATATGAACCTCCAACCTGCACTATGTTAAGCAAGGGCAGACAATGACAATGTATTGTGTGTTAAAATATAATTGCAAACTGTATACTCACATCATAAGGTGAAGCGAATGTAAACGCCATGTCAGCGTAGTCTCTGTGGCCGACAGAAAACAGGCGTGAACATTTCTGGACGATATGTGAAGACCTAGAGGCTTGTCTAGCGAGTGTGGCTGCCATCTTGTACGGGCAGGATCAAGGGCGATATGGGAGAGCAATCGTGTTTCTGTTGCCTCGTTCGTCTGAGAGCTATCTCCCTTGACCATCATCATTATCAAGTGCCACTGTGCCTTCTGTTCTAAAAGTGCTGCTTCACTGGTTGACTGCGTCACCAAGACGAGTCCTTCTAAAATATGGATGGCGACCAGCGGGCCAAAACTGACCAGCGAAGGCCCTGCCCGTGGGTTATTAACAGATGTATTGTAATGTGCTCGGACTTCTGGCCCATGACGATCATTATTTTTGGCCCCTAAGGATTGATTCATTGGCACCTTTCCGTCTTTTCAGACGATAGTGTTATACTGCGCTAAGAGGAGGCATCGGGCTCACAGCCTATGGCGATGGCGAGTGTGACTAGCAAGACCAGCCCACATTAAGAAAAGTCTTCCACTATTATAGCACAGGATTTTAGGATAGTTGTCATCATTTGTGTTTAGTCTGTTTCTTCTAAAGCGCTCAGCTCTCATCTTTTCTGCATTCATTTTCTTTATTTATTATCATTTATTCCTCCACACAACAGTCTGTGACATTTTGTTCTGAGTCGATCTCAATACCTTTTCATTCATGTCCTGCTTGTGCATGTCTTTAAATCACAGTAGTGGTCGGCCTCAACATGTTCTACCTAGTCTTTAATTCACCTCAAAGGATGTCCTTAGGGACCCTGCCATTTTCCATTCGCCAAGTGTGACCCAGCCACCTTAGCCTTCAAAGACTAAGCACTGTGTAGACTGTTGTAATACCTGCTCTTTCCAATACCTTAGTGTAGGTGATCTTGTCATGCCACTTAGTGCCAAGTATTCTTCCTAAGCATTGCAGGTGAAAGATATTTATCCGTCTCTCATGTTGTGAATAAGTTTCACTGCTATAAAGCAGAGTGCTGAAAACACAAGCCTGATAGACAATAAGTTTTTTTTTTAATCGTGAGCTTTCTGTCTGTCCCAAACTCTTTTTGTTAATCTGCTCATTGTTGTTGCTGCCTGAACCTCTCCTGTTATTGATTTCTTAGTCCAGTGATTGTTTGTTATTCACTGCAGAACCCAGATAGGTAAAATGTGTGTTCAGCTCTTCACCATCAATATAGACTGCAGGTCTATCATTAACACCTTGCACCATAATCTGTCTTCTTTTTGCTGATTGTTAGAATCACATACTGATATCCCTGAGGAAACTTAGTTAATTGCCCTGTTCTAAGGCCTCATCCTAATCAAGACAAGCAAGACTGGAGGAGACATGTCAAGACAAGGTCACAAAGACAAGCTCTGAAGATGTCAAGACAAGGTCACAAAGACAAGCTTTGGAGATGTCAAGACAAGGTCACAAAGACAAGCTTTGGAGATGTCAAGACAAGATCACAAAGACTAGCTCTGGAGTCGTCAAGACAAGGTCACAAAGACTAGCTCTGGAGTCGTCAAGACAAGGTCATAAAGACTAGCTCTGGAGTCGTCAAGACAAGGTCATAAAGACTAGCTCTGGAGTTGTCAAGACAAGGTCACAAAGACTAGCTCTGGAGTTGTCAAGACAAGGTCACAAAGACTAGCTCTGGAGATGTAAAGACAAGGTCACAAAGACTAGCTCTGGAGATGTCAAGACAAGGTCATAAAGACTAGCTCTGGAGTCGTCAAGACAAGGTCATAAAGACTAGCTCTGGAGATGTCAAGACAAGGACATAAAGACTAGCTCTGGAGGTGTCAAGACAAGGTCATAAAGACAAGCTCTGGAGATGTCAAGACAAGGTCATAAAGACAAGCTCTGGAGATGTCAAGACAAGGTCACAAAGACAAGCTCTGGAGATGTCAAGACAAGATCACAAAGACAAGCTCTGGAGATGTCAAGACAAGATCACAAAGACAAGCTCTGGAGATGTCAAGACAAGATCACAAAGACAAGCTCTAAAGATGTCAAGACAAGATCACAAAGACAAGCTCTGGAGATGTCAAGACAAGATCACAAAGACAAGCTCTAAAGATGTCAAGTGGCGAGCAATGAAACAAAAGTCAAGCAAGTAGAAAAAGAAGCACCACAAAAGTTCACGAAGCAACTTGGCAATATATTAGTCCTTATCAGGACTTTTTTTTTTTTAAATATCGTATGCAACGATACACAATACCGACATGTTTTCAAGGCCAATTTATTTTTCAAAACTGATGATGTTATAATTTTGTTAATTTCATGGCCACTTCAGCTGCATTTGAAATCCAGCGTCCTCGAAATTGGCTCACATGTGTGCTGGAATGTAACCCTCTGGGCTCTGGCAAGCTAAAACAAATGTTCAGGCCAGCCATTGGTGCGGGTTTTGTTAATCTGGACAAATAGGGAAACAAGGCCAGATGACTTATTGATTTTTCATTCTGCCTGAATGAAGAACACAAAAGGGGGGGGGGGGGGGGGGGGGGGGGGGGGGGAATTGTTGAAATAATTAGTTTGTGTTCAAGTTCTTAGATGAAGAAACTCAGCTATGCAATTTGTAACGGACCCCAATTTGTAACGGCCCGTGCATCTATCAGAGATATGTATGTTAATAAAGACTGCATCCAAACCGTAGCCAGACTGCAAGAACAGCCAGTTAAAGATGTGAATGAACAAACAAACTTTATTTTCAAAGAGTCACAAATTGGGCACACAGGCCCGTCTTATATTCAGCTCTTCCAGACACTCATCTTTCACACAGCAAACTGTATTTTATCTCTAAAACAGGTTTTGTTCATTTAAAAATACGCATAATAGGAATATAAAGGAAAAAACTTAAAAGCATAAATGGTAAATGAACGGGTACATATATTTTCTTCTTAGTTTATCCTATGATGTGGAGCGGCTGACGGCTGTTCTGTGTTGGTTCCTTACTCTTAGTTGGCTTTCTGCATACTGCTCTTGCTTGGCCTTATGTATGTATATGTGTGTGTGTTATACATATAGCAGTCGACGTCTGTAGGATAGAATGACTTGGTTTGAGTTGCTTGAGGGCAGATGCTTCATTGGGGGTTAGAAAGCAGAAGAAGAAGTCAACGTCTGTGGCTTAGGCACTGTTAACGTGCTTCATACTCCCAAGATCAATCCCAGCTGCAGGTGACTTGGCAGCAGACTGCCTTGCGTTGGTTTCCACAGCGGTATCGAGAGTCAACCATTTAGAAGGTAACTGCAAACTGCTGAACTTGGTCAAATCACAAACAGACAAATAATGCTGGGGTTGGTTCTGCCACGACCAGCTCCAGCTCACGGGCCATGCTGCTGACGTCACCTAGTCGGGCTAACGCAACGGTTATCAAACTGGGTGCTGAGGTACCCGCGGCAGTAATAAAGAAAAGACGGCTAAAAATTGTGAAATTTTTAAAGAAGGCATGTAGTTACTTAAAAGTTAAAATTTAAGTTGTCTTCCCTCGCCACTGTCGAAAATAGTTTATTTCTTGTTTGAGAACCGCTGCAACCTGTAAAGGAAATACAATTACCGTTTATACACACGGCCGCATTACTGATTATGCTGTTTTGAGCAAAATGACATTACTTGTTGGTTCAACCACCTCATGTCCTAGCCTGTTCACCTCCGACAGTTAGTTCACCTCCTTATGTCCTACAGTTAGTTTACCTCCTCATGTCCTACAGTTAGTTCACCTCCTTATGTCCTACAGTTAGTTCACCTCCTCATGTCCTACAGTTAGTTCACCTCCTCATGTCCTACAGTTAGTTTACCTCCTTATGTCCTACAGTTAGTTTACCTCCTTATGTCCTACAGTTAGTTCACCTCCTTATGTCCTACAGTTAGTTCACCTCCTTATGTCTGACAGTTAGTTCACCTCCTTATGTCCTACATTTAGTTCACCTCCTTATGTCCTACATTTAGTTTACCTCCTTATGTCCTACATTTAGTTCACCTCCTTATGTCCTACAGTTAGTTCACCTCCTTATGTCCTACAGTTAGTTTACCTCCTTATGTCCTACAGTTAGTTCACCTCCTTATGTCCTACATTTAGTTTACCTCCTTATGTCCTACAGTTAGTTCACCTCCTTATGTCCTACATTTAGTTTACCTCCTTATGTCCTACATTTAGTTTACCTCCTTATGTCCTACAGTTAGTTCACCTCCTTATGTCCTACAGTTAGTTCACCTCCTTATGTCCTACATTTAGTTTACCTCCTCATGTCCTACATTTAGTTCACTTCCTTATGTCCTACATTTAGTTCACCTCATTATGTCCTACAATTAGTTTACCTCCTTATGTCCTACATTTAGTTCACCTCCTTATGTCCTACAGTTAGTTCACCTCCTTATGTGCTACAGTTAGTTCACCTCCTTATGTCCTACATTTAGTTCCCCTCCTTATGTCCTACAGTTAGTTTACCTCCTTATGTCCTACATTTAGTTCACCTCCTTATGTCCTACAGTTAGTTCACCTCCTTATGTCCTACAGTTAGTTCACCTCTTTATGTCCTACAGTTAGTTCACCTCCTTATGTCCTACAGTTAGTTCACCTCCTCATGTCCTACATTTAGTTCACCTCCTTATGTCCTACAGTTAGTTTACCTCCTTATGTCCTATAGTTAGTTTACCTCCTTATGTCCTACATTTAATTCACCTCCTTATGTCCTATAGTTAGTTCACCTCCTTATGACAGCTTAGTTAATCATGAAAGCAGCATTAGCTTTCAACAAAACCAATCGTTCTATGTTGTCAGCATTAAGGCCGTGTATGCAGAAGAGGGTATAAGGTAACCACTATTCGTATCTGGCCCGAATGCAAGTATTTGACCGAATACCAACAGTTGTTAGGTCCACTATTCGGCCCCGAAATGAATACGAAGCAAATGTTCGGTACAGCTCTAGTTCAAAGCCTCTTGTCCAAGGCACTAGTTACTGAACCTCCTTCTATCCCAGAAAGGTATCCCTTTCAACTCACTCATGGACGAGGTCACTTGGTGCATCATCATCATGTGTGGGTTCCTGGGTCTTATGGTGGGAAACCAAAAGAA